CAACCCGTGTTTCCAGATTCCTGATTGACACATCTGTATTCTTTTGATTTTCCATGGACAACTACATGAATTGATTTAAGGTATCCTATAATCTTGAAAGCTTGTCGGGTTTATTGTAACTTTGGTATTGATTATGCCTATTTTGAACTTGGCCATAGTTTGCGTTGTTGTTGTATGGATAACCTTAATTCCTTTGATATGAAACTTGCCTTTACTACTATTGATTTCCCATATAATTGATTTCTTCATTAATCGGGGGACAAACACCGGTTGGATGGTCTCCTCTACACAGTTTACAAGATGCTGCTTGTTGCGGTTTAAGTGTTTCTTGCATTTCTTTAAGTTGTTGTGGAAGTTTTGAGATCTGCTTTGTCACTTCTTCCACAGTTTGTGTGAGAAGCTTGTTTTATGCCAAGACCGCATCATTTGTATCCAATTCAAGAATTCCAGATTTATTTTGTATTGTACCTCTATTATACTAGATCTGGTGATCACTGAGAGCCATATGGCTGATAATAGCAACTGCTTCCTCTACACTTTTGGATAGTAATGAACCACTGACTGTAGCGTCAAGTAAGAGCTTGTGCTGGGCTACAGTCCATTACGAAAAACACGAATCTGTGTGATATTATCGAAACCATGATTTGGACATTTGTGCAACATAGATTTGTATCATTCCCAAGCTTCACAAAGAGTTTCTGTTGCACTTTGTGTGAATGTGGCTATTGTTGTTTTTGCATCCATGAACCGATTGTGTGGAAAGAACCTGTTAAGAAAATTTTCTTCCAAGACATTCCAATTTGTCATAGTTTCAGTGGGTTGGTCAAGATACCAATCTTTTGCTTTACCGACCAAGGAATATGGAAATAATCTCATGAAGACAACCTCTTTTTCAGCTTCAGGTGCACCTAACATACCAACAAGCTCATATAATTTGGTGAGGTGTGTGTATGGATATTCATGTTCCAAACCTGAAAAAGGATTAGCATAAATTATCTGTAGCAGCCCTGTTTTCATTTCAGCTTGCCGGTTAATCAGATTGTTAGAGAGACGAGCCAATCGCCTCTAGCTATTAGCATAAGGATCATTAACAACTCCAGCCATTGTTTCGTCTGTTGAATTTGATGAGGAATTTTATGTAGATGCTCCTTTTTTATTTATCTTCTTGGATATTTGTTTCTCCTTCTTCGTCTGCCTTTTGTTCTTTCAGATTGTTCTTTCGATCTCGAGATCAAAAAGAAGTTTTTCTTCTGAACTTTTGCCTAAGAGCATAAACAAAATTTTCACCTATCCAAACACTTGAACAAATGGTTACGAAAAACAAATGTATACAATATATAACAAAACTTATAAGTATAGAAACAATTGCAACATTTTAATATCTTAAACTCCAATCCTCGACAGCAATGCCAATTTGATGTTAAGTAAAATCAAATGAAAGTATTGTTTTATCGTATCCGCGAGAATTAGAGTGATATCAAAACCGTTCAATAATTTCTATTATTCTAAGCATAAATTTTCAAGAAGTTTGATTGATAAGTTACGAAAAGTAAATGAGTAAAATAAAGAAAGGTAAGATTAAGAGGAATGGACTTGTTGGGGTTTGGTTTTCATCCACCGGTTCAATATGCAAATCTCAGATCAGTTATACACAATTTAAGAATATTTCATTATCATCACGTATTTCTCACAAACAAAGTTTATGTCTAAACATTTGATGATAATTCTACCTTATGGTTTAATTGAGGATTTCTCAGTCTATTAAACAATATGGTAGCATAATGATTCAATACTTAGTGAATATTAAAACTAACTCTATGTCTCGCTGTTAGAACTTAAATATATGGTATCTTAAATCGAGATTAGAATCGTATTTGTCAATATCAATTCAATCCATGAAATAAACGATAAAGAAAAGATAACATCAATAATGATTCAAACATAATTTGTATATAACTCCATGATCAAATAAGATACATATTGTTTCAATGAACTACGACCAATCCCAACAAGAGAGAGATTTAGCTACTCATGGTAGCTTAATGAACAATGGGAGAATTGAGTTGAAACGACATCAGTTGTGATTTCCCAACTCTTGATGTGAATCCAACTCCTTCTTCTTACAACCTCTTCTATTCATATTCTACCGCTATTACAGATGATGTATTGTGATATTACAAGTGGTAAAACTGAATGCCTCCAACTGAGTTGAGTTCTATCCTATTTATAGCAGGTTTGGCCGCCTAAGTTCTCTATGCAAACTATATTTCGCTAAGCAAAGTCTTGCTTCTTTGTTAAGTTTTCAAATTAACTTGTATTCAGAAAACCGCCAAAGTTCCCTAAGTGAAGTGATGCTCTCTTAGTGAAGTTGCTTTCTTCAGCTTTAAGTCTTTTCAAAATTTCTTTCTTTGGCCACCCTATTTCGCTAAGCGAAAGCCCGATTCTCTAATCGAAATGCCTCGCTTTTCCTCGCTATTGGAGAATTTGGTTGATTTGCTTCTGTGAATTTGGTTGATTTGCTTCTGTGAATTTGGTTGTATTGTGCAAGCTATCGCTGGAACTTTCGCCTAGTGAAATGCCTGGTTTTTGGTTTTTCTTTAAGGGTTAAAACCTGCACAAAAGGCAACAAAACAACAAAACCTAAGATAGCTTGCACAATACTCCTTTTGTTCATTAGTTAACGTTTTTATGTTAGAAACTTATCATTTAAGCAAGATAAATGTCATTTTTTAATGTGATAATTTACTATGAACCAATCATTCATCATATGCATGTCGGTTATTACCTCTCATATTTGAGTGTTTGGTTAAGTACTTGAGATGTTTGTCGGTTGTTACCTTTAAGATTCAAAGTGGTGTTTGCCTTGTTGCTTTGTTAAGTATTTGAGTTTCATTTTGGGTTGTTACCTTTGTATTTGAGCCATTTTTTTAGGTTGTTACCTTTGCACATTGATGTGGTTGTTTACATGTTTTCCTTGTTTGATAACATGCACCCTTAGGATCTCTTGATTCAATCTTGTTTAAGATTCAAATTAAGGTAGACCTTAGGATTGATATCCAAGCATGATAACATAGTTAGGATTTCCACTTTATCGTTGACCTTAGAGCCATCTTGCATGACAATATTAGGTAGACATTTCCTTTTCAATCCCAACTTTAGGACTATCATTGCATGATAACAAATAGGGCCAATTTCCTCTAGATTTTTGTTCTCTTTTGCATTGCATTCTTGTAAGACTAAAACTCTTTCTTGATAAAAAATCCAACACGTTGAATCATATTTGAACACTTTCAAAACCTAAAAGGGAAGTACTCAAGTACCCCTTGTTTAAAGGAACCACTTGACGTATTCTCCTAAAAAACATTGAACAAATAAAAAAAATCTTGCCTTAGGCATTTTCTTTTGAAAACCTTTCATAAAAAAACATGTTATTTCCATTTTGCACCATAAAATAATGTATGAGTCTCCAAAGATCGAGCAGCAAACGTTAACGGTTAGAATGCAAATGTAACATTGTTCATAAAAAACATGCAACAAACTAATTTTTTTTAGAAGAACTACGGTGCTCTGATTCTTTCGAGATACGCAGGCACGAGGTTGTAAAACTGAGCGAGCGCAATAATAAAAAAACATTTTCTTTTGTTTCTTTCCTTAAGCATTTCATTCATACATTCCCTTAGCAAGTAAGCATTAGATATAACACACCCTTTGATTAGAACAACAAGAGTGGATCCCGTGGAGTACCACGAACATGATGGGTGCTAATACATTCCCTTCACGTAGTCGACTTTTATATCATTCTCTTAGTTACATGATCGTGATCTATCAATTCTCAGATTTCCTCCATGTTTTCTTTTTCCTTCTTTGGGATAAATAACGTTTGATGGCGACTCTGTTTGCGTCGGTATTTTTTATGGTAACGACACTGACATTCATAAATATCAAGCAGACGAGGCTCTTTATTAAGAAGAGAACTCGAGGTCGAGTTCTTCAGAGGTGGATGAGACTGTTGTAGGAAGATTTTTTAAGCCATTCGAATTTGTTTCAGGCCTAAAAACAATATTTTAATATTTTCTGCAATTTTCTATTTTTGTTTTAGATTAAAAGTTCTTTAGATTTTTTTCCCTATTTTATTTTTGTTTTGGATTAAAATATCATTAAGACTTCTTTGCTTATGTAAACACTTTTAGCGTGAGTCAAAGATCATCTTTTATTATAATAAAATTCAAAATTTTATTCTTTTAAGCAGATTCCAACTCTATTTTATAAATTTGTCGCTTGTAAATTTATGTTTTAATTTAAATTTAACGCTTACTATCTCTTAAGATTTCCAACCGCGTCAAATAATAATAATAATAATAATAATAATAATAATAATAATAATAATAATAATAATAATAATTTTAAATTCAATAAAATAATTTTTAACAATATTAACAAATATAGGTATCCATAAATATAAGTGTTGTCAAATTTATATTCATATTCGTGACAAATAGTTAAATATTCTTAATTTTATTTAATATTCAATAAATCATCAAATCCATATCCACAATAAATTTATCGCGAATATTCACCAAAACGATTTTTGTTATCATCATAAACATAGATACTAGAAACTTTTATATATAAACAATTTGGTGGAGACAATATAAATTCAGTTGGCTTACCTTTTCTTATTCAAAAGTTGGGTTTCTTAATTATAATGAGAGTTATGTTGCACATTTAATTTACCTTGAATTCATTATTATTATTTATTAAATTTAGTTTATAATTTGAGTGGTTACAATGAAGCGGGAAACATTTGTGTGGTGTATGAAACTCGAGGACAACATTATTCCGTCTGTGGGCACTGTTCCCTCCCGAATGAAGTGATTCTGATGGGACCGATGAATCAATGAATCCAACATGGAACCTCCATCGCACATGTTCCACACCCAACTCTTCAACTCTTCTCTTTCTCTTTCTCTTTCTTTTTCTCTACCACACATTCAATAACCATGAACTCCAATTCTCATTCAATGTCTTCAACACCTCCAACACCAACTAGTAACGATGTTTCTGGTGGCAAGAAGGTTAGAAAACCTTACACTATTACTAAGTCCAGAGAAAGCTGGTCTGACGAGGAACACGACAAGTTCATAGAAGCTCTTCAACTGTTTGTCTCTCCCTCTCTCTTGCTTTTCGTTTTTATATTCAACTACTATCCAATAATTACTCATCTTATCTTCCACTTTTTTTTTCTTCTTCCAGTTTTGATAGGGATTGGAAGAAAATTGAAGATTTTGTAGGTTCTAAAACTGTTATTCAGGTAATAACCACTCGTAACTCACACATACTTCAGTGAATATCACAACCGTGAGTATTAGGTTTCGACCTTTGATGATGAGTTTCAAACTATTGTTACTTGAAAGTTGAGCTACGATTTGCGGAATGATATTTTCTTTTTTAATTGATATATTAGTGATTATTCTATTAGCTAACTATGATAATTTGTTTCAGATTCGAAGCCATGCTCAAAAGTACTTTTTAAAGGTTCAGAAAAACGGAACACTAGCTCATGTTCCTCCTCCTCGTCCTAAGCGGAAAGCTATTCATCCATACCCACAAAAGGCTACCAAAAATGGTTAGCGTCATGTTTCTGGTGTGTGTGCTCCGTAGCTTAAAACACAAGATTTGATGTATCCCTAACTGTTGCTGCTTTTTGTGTTACTTACCAGTTTTGGTGCCACTACCAGCATCCATTGCTTATGGATCTTCCTCAAATAACCTTTTACCTGCAGGGTATGTCACATGGGATGAAACTTCCATGTTGATGAATACTTGCCAGGATGAACTCAACAATCTTCATGGAAATGAAGGCATGTTTACTTTTTTTTTTTTTTTTTTGAATTTTGCTGTCAATACTCAAAGGAACTTGCCACTAATTATGTTATACCATGTTTTTACTGATTCAGCTGATATTATTGGATCAAAGGGGAGTCTTAGTGGTGTTGAGGACTCTAATACAAGGCACCCCACTTCTCAGATACCAATGCAAGGGAATCAAAATCCTGCGGTTCATGGTAACCTTCTGCGACAGATCCAGAAGTTTTTAAGTTGTGAAGCAATAGTTGCATATAGAAAGTTGTGTGCATAGTACTATTGTATGCGATGGATAAATAACATACAATATTGAGTTTATCGATATCGTTGAGGCAGAAAATGATCTTGTGAAATGTTATTTTTGTTCTGGATTCATTTTGAGATTGATTATACAGCTACTGATGGTTTATCTGTCATTTTGATGATATTTCATAGGTTTGCCGGACTTTGCTGAAGTTTATGGTTTCATTGGAAGTGTTTTTGATCCAGATACAAATGGTCATGTGCAGAAGCTGAAAGAAATGGATCCTATAAATTTTGAAACTGTAAGTTGATTACATGAATGAAACTTAGTATGATATAATTCTGACAGAAATAACTAGAGATGTGAAACTTAGCTATATAATCAAGTATGTATTCATGTGCAGGTTTTGTTGTTAATGAGAAACCTCACTGTCAACTTGTCTAGTCCTACTTTTGATCCCATTGTAAGTTTCAATATCAGTTATTATGATTAATCATATGAGAAACGCTAGCAACACACTCGTTACTGGTTGAAACTCAAATTGATTTTACTATTTCAGAAATCAGACACACTAAAACATGAAATTTGACTAGTTTATCTTTATTGATTTGCTGATCAGAAGAAGGCAATGTCAACATATGATATGAATAATAATAAGGTCGCAGTAGAAGTTACTGATGCGAAGAAGCAGACAAATGATGTATCATGTCAAACCACATAAATCACTACCAATTTGTTGACTTGGTGTGTGTTTTCTTTTGCTTTCATATTTTGTTATTATTGTAATAACAGTTCTACAGTTAGATTGTTCAAACATAGATGGAAGACCAAGGTAGGTTTGTAAAGCCAGTGAATGCAACTGTTGTCCTTTGTAACCACATTCAGGATAGTATATGTTAGAAGCACAGAGCATATTTTTCAACTTATAGGGAAATATTACTAAGTTAGTGGTTATGATAGTTTCACTACCTACTTGGGATCATAATAATTGTTGTATTACTCTAAATGTGTAGATTCATTACACGTATTGCCGAATTTAATATGTTGCTGTCAATGTCTTTGCACAATCATGCAATCAAGATACCATTAACCGGTAGATTTTGATCCAAAAATTAGAAACATCAAATTTTTATAATTCTAAAAATAACAAGTTTAAATCTAGATTGTTTGATGTTAATCATGTTGGAAATAATTTATATTTTAGAAATGTCTTGTTGACTAAGTCTGTTAGAGAGTATTTTAGTATTTTGTGTTATACTCTAATATTGTGTATAAATAGCCTAGTAGTAGGTAGTTCAATATATTTTTCATTACTCTTTATTTTGTAGTCGTCATTTAATATATTTCTTGTCTTTCATTTCTCCTTTGTGCACCAACAATTGATATCTAGAGCTCCGATTCGAAATCCACGGGAAACACATGAAACACGAGTGAACAGTGAGGTGTTGTGTGATTCAGAATCACTTTTTTTTATTCAGTGGGATTTAGACAACACTGTGTGTTAGTGAATTTTTGAGTGAATTGCACAAGGTTGGAGATGAATGGAAACAACGATATCAGTTCCAAACTTCCAGTGTTTGATGGTAAAAACTGGAATTGTTGAAAGATCCAGATGCGTGTGTTGTTTGGTTCTCAAGATGTGTTAGATCTTGTCACCGATGGCTATGCTTCATTAACAGCATACGCGACGGAGACACATAAGACAACGCAGAAGACGACGTGGAAGAAAGATCAGAAAGTATTGTTCTACATCCATCAGTGTGTGGATGCGAATGTGTTTGAGAAGATTGCTGACTCTGAAACAACAAAGATTGCGTGAGACACACTGGTTAGATGTTACGGTAGTGATGCATCAGTGAAGAATGTGAAACTTCAGTCCCCAAGAAAGCAATACGAGAATCTCAACATGAAGGACGATGAGAAGGTTTCTGAGTACATCTCTAGAGTGATTCTGATCACTAATAAGATGAAAGCTTGTGGAGAAACTCTTTCTGAACAAGTAATCATAGAGAAGGTTTTGAGATCTTTAACTTCTCAGTTTGATTATATTGTGGTAACAATTGAACATTCCAAAGATCTAAGTACCATGAGAGTTGAAGAGCTGCAAAGTAGTCTAGAGGCACATGAGTTACGTATGACTGAGAGAACTTCTGAGAGGAAAGTAGAGCAGTAGGCTCTGAAAGCAACTTCTGGTAATAAGTATCAGAAGCAGACTTGGTCAAAAGCCACAAAGAAAACTAATGGTGGTCAGAGGTCAGAAGCCTCAATCTCTGATAGGCAGAAGAATGTCTAGAAGGGAAATGAGAAGTCTGACAAGAAGAATGTTCAGTGTTACTGTTGCAAGAACTTTGGTCATTATGCCAAAGATTGATGGTCAAACAAAGAAAGGAAGTCAGAAGAAGCAAATATAGCTAGAGGAGAGTATGATGATGAACCCGTGCTATTGTTGGTTTCTGATTCTAATGATATGAATTCATTAGAATGATGGTATGTGGACACAAGGTGTTCAAACCATCTTACTGGAAACAAGAAATGGTTGGTTGATTTTGACTTTGGGAAGAGTACAAAGATCAGATGTGTTGATGATAAATACCTCAATGTAAAAGGTATGGGAAATGTCAGAGTCATTCTAAACAATGGGAAAACAGTTGTTGTTGCACCCCAAAATTTGCCCTCTCATATCTCTCAAAACATTTCAAGAAAAATCTCCAAGTGGCCCAAGATTGCTCAAGAGTTGGACAATCAAGCTATCTCCTAAAGTAGTCAACCCCAAATTAGGGTTTTGTGTTGCATCAAGATCCTTGAGTCTAAATGACCTCAAATTCTCCCTAATGTTCTAATATATTCTCAAGGTCATCCATGTCAAATATCAAGCCTTGCAGAGGAAGTTTGCTCAGTCAATTGCTCAAAGGGTCCAAAAATCGACTGTGCTAGGGCAAAAGTCAACTGTGACCTACAAATAGTCAAACCTCAAGATTTTTTGTCAACATTCTCATTTTGAAGGATATTTCATCATTTGATCAAGGATTGATCATGATTCATCAAGGATTGCTCAAAATTCATCATGACTCAAAAGTTGCTAAATTAGGGTTTTGTAGGAAAAATCAACTCAACTTTGCCCAAGCATAACTTTCTCATACTTAATGAGAAATGACCCATCCAAAGCTCATTTTGAAGAGGATGCAATTTTCTACAATCCATCTTCATACTCCAAGATCAAAAAATGCACTCACAAGAAGTTATAAATTTGGACATTATAGGTCATTTTTGAAAGTCAACAAAAACACATTTTTTGCCAAAGCTTATAACTTGAGCATGGAATATCAAAATGATATGAGACCAAAAGGATTGGTTATAGGATATCTCAAGATTTCTAAAAAGTCCAAGAACACTTCCAAAAATTCAAAATTGAAGAAGTTATGCATTGTTGAAGTTGGGCATTTTTGCAAAATTGCCAAAAGTCAACTATCCCCAAAACTTCAAATTTTGTCAAATGGGCCCATTCTTTTCCACTTGATTTGGACTTGCCACATTACACACGTGTCCTAGCTTCAGCCTTGTGTCCATTTATCAATTTTTTCTATTTTATTTTATTTTTAATTGAATCATTTCATTTTAAATCAATTTAAATCAAATAAAATCCCAAAACTTGATTACATGAGATCTTTTTCTATTTTTAGGACCTAATCATCATCAATGTCATGATCAAACTCGTATCAAGCATTCCATGTGCAAAAAGATTGGATTTTTGGCAAATTAGGCAAGTTATCAATGGTGGATCAAATCCAATCTCAAGGCATTGATGTGGAAAGATTCAAGACCAATTTGTTGACCTAATACATTGCAGCATACAATACAATCCAAGGCACACGAATTTGAGACCTAGAGGCTGCAAGAATACCAAGAATCAAACTTGAAAAATTGACAAAAAGTGTGAAACTGAAATCATCCTTGGAGGCATTTTTAGAAGCGAAACTCAACACCAATCGCTTGCTGGACAATCACTGAGTCAGAATCAATCCAAAGCAAGCTCTCACAGCCATCAAAACACACTGTAAGCATCACGTTTCATGGCCCTGTATTCAAAATCGAAACTCCATATTTTTGCATCTTTTTGACTAATCTTTGATATATTTATGATGCTTATGAAATTTCTGAACTTTTGGCATTGTTTGATTGCATTTATATGGACGGTAACCCCATAACCGGATCTAGGGTTTTGTAGTTTTTTTTTGGGCATTTTATTTACATGCGAAATTAGTTCCATTGATGGACATGGACGTGACCAGGGGAGATAGACGAGCATAACCATAGTCTTGGATTTGATTTTCATGGCCTAGAACCGATTTTAGGGTGGACATATGAATTTAGCTGCGGATATAAATCCGCAGGTAAATGTACAGGGCTGAAGGAAGAAGACGAAGACGTGTCTCCCCCTGGTTGGACAGTTCAAACTTGGCGCATTTTATTTTTTTTTGTTCTGGCATATTACGCGTTATCACATATTATTATTATTATTGTCCATTACATTAACAACTAATGCATAATGGCTGAGTGGTGATGTGCGTTCAAAATCCAACAGGACATGGGTTCGAATCCCAGGTCCCCCATATGCATTGTTATTATTTTTCTACAGGTTATCCAGTACAAACCAATGCTTGAAGCCTATCATATGTCCTCAAATATCAAAGCACCAGATGGCCCAAGGCCAGATCTGGTGATTCAGGTTTAATGACCACCATGGGATTGAGTCAATGGGCGCATAGGGAATCAGGAAGGTCAACAGAGGCCAATTCAATTGGGTCATGGAATTGCTGGATGAACCCCCTAATCAGGCCCAAACCTCCTAACTCTTTCTTCTTTTATTATTTCTTTTAATTATTTATTATTATTATTTTTATGATTAATTAACCAATCAAACTTTTTCTTAATAAAATTAAAAGACCAAAAAATATTTTCTTATTTAAATTAAATTTCAGTATTTTATTTTTGTTAACAATATTAATTTAATTAATTTAGTTTTAATTAGGCATAACTTTTAATATATTTTGCAATAATTAAAATTAACTTAGACAATTAGGTTTTATTAACATTGATCAAATTTATTTTTATTTCTTTAAATACCAAAAACCTAAAAAAAAATTCATTAATTAATTTGTTTATTAATTTAATAATTAACCTAGATTTAATTTCTTCCATAAATTCAAAATAACAAAAAAGATGCTTTCTTTCAAAAAAGGGTCAAAACTCTAAAACTTACGCCCAATTTAATTTCCCGCACGCGATCCATTTTATTCAATATTGTATCTGTTTCCGGAATGTAATAACTTAATAGGACTTTACTATTTTTACCGCTTTATTTTATTTATTTTCCGCATTTTAATTTCAAGGGTTGCTTTTGGCGATGTAAATACCCGACGCCTTGTAATAGTTAGTTTAATTTCCGCAATTTAATTTCCGCAACTTATAAACTGTTAGATGTTTGATAATAGGGAATGCATGACAAGAATGAATGTTTAACCTAAAATCAACATAGATCACCATTAATATGTATAAAGACAAAATTAACTGAATATGACACACTCGCACATGCGCACTCTTAGGGTACACCCCACTTGGTTGCCTTCGTACGCGGTCATTGAGTATAGGTCACTTTAGAGGTCACCCTCTTGTCCAAAGATCATAGTTGCCTCGAAGCGGTTGCCTCGGATATTGTTGCCT